GAGTGAGAAGCAGGCTCCATGCAGGAAGCCCGATGTGGGACTCGATCCCAGGTCCCCAGGATCACACCCCAGGCTGCAGGCGGCGCTAAACTGCTGCGCCACCGGGGCTGCCCTCAGCTCAGGTCTTAATCTCAGGGTCATGAGTTCAAAGCCTGCAACACCCAGCGAGAAGCCTACTAAAAATAAACAAAAACTAGAAAAAGTAGGATTCTATGAAGGGCAGACTGTCCTTCAGAAAACAAGTCCACTCTCCACAGGAAAGACTTCAAGGTGAGTGAGAACTTAAGACTTTAAAGCCTGGAAAATTGGGACACCCATGGAAACACCATGCATGGAACGTGTTGGCAATCAAAGGAGCAGGTCCTGCTTGCAGAGGCCAGCCTCTCTACCTGTCCTCCCAGAGTGCTCACAGATCTGCACAGTGCATGTTCCCGGGCACCGAGACAGACTCAAGGAAATCTCAGTGCATCTAGGTTCCTTGTCACCCTCCCCTGGGGTCTGGTTTCTAATCCCAGAGAAGTTGCACCTCCTCTGAATGCAGAAATCAGGATGGTTTGGTATCGTGAGACCTGATGATGGTTCTAGCATGCAGACTTTTTCTCCACTCAGAAAAGCAAACTTGGGCAGCCCCGGTGGCCTGGTGGTTTAGCGCCGCCTTCAGTCCAGGGTGTGATCCTGGAGACTCGGGATTGAGTCCGACATCGGGCTCCCTGCAAGGAGCCTGCTTCTCCCTCTGCCTGTGTCTCTGTCTCTCTCTCTGTGTCTCTCATGAATAAATAAATCTTTAAAAAAAAAAAAAGAAAGAAAAGCAAACTCTTCGATTGCTTTTAAAGGTTGATTACTTTCCTCTGACTGGATGCTGAATAATAAATATTTCCCTTATGAAACCACCCTCAACTTTTAGTCTATAGATGTCTGCTTTCTCTCTTGCTAGAGACAGGTGGCTTTTTCCACTTGTACCTTCTCATCTGCAACTGAACATCACCGCCCAGCATCCTTCCCTGAGGGCATCCTAACCACGCTCCACAGCTTCCCTTTGGCAGCCCTGGTTGGATTTGAGCCCCAAGCACAAGTTCAGAGGCTGTTCGTACAGACTGGCAGAAAGGGCTCTCCCCACACCAGCCCCCAAAGCTGGATTCCCTAAGACCTATGAAAGGGGCAGAGTTAAGAGTTTAAAGAATTCCAGAGGGTATGTGCGGGCATGTGCAGATGGCAGTGAAGGGAAACAAGTATCCAGCATTGTGATTCTTCCTGCTGTATAGACTTTGTAGCAAGGACTCCCTCCTGCTGCTGGACATGTCTTGAGAACCATTAGCAGCCCAGATAGTTGGCTTGTAAGGAAAGAACATGAGGTTTTAGGGTTGAAGGAGAGAAACAGATAAGACTCTAACAGGAGAGATCCCTTCTGAAAAGCCAATGCTTTTGAATAAAATGGATGCAATCAAGGTGGAGATGAGCAGAATCGCTCATCTGTCCACTGGGGTTTAGGGACAGTCTCACATAAAAAGGTAAAGCTTAATTATTGCCCAATTACTAATTCTTTGAGTAGAAAAAAAGGTCTAACAATTCTAGCTTACTTTCCCTATGACTGCAGCACTGACAACCATCCCCTGGGGTAGACAGAAACCTAAGATGACCCCCAAGGTTCCTGCCCCGCAGAGTACATGCCTAGCATAATCCCCTCTCTTTGAGTGTAGGCCAGACCAATTAATATTATGGGAGATCACTCTGAGTTCACCAAACAGATTATCTTAGGATCTTAGGAGGGTCGGCCTGACCTAATCAGGCAAGACTTTAAAAGGAAGCCTTCAGGGGCACCTGGGTGGCTCAGTCGGTTAAGCATCTGCCTTCAGGTTGGGTCAGGATCTCTGGGTTCAGAGATGGAGCCCAACGTTGGGGAATCCCAGCTCAGTGGGGAATCTGCTTCTCCTTCTCCCCCTCCCCCAACTATAAGCCTGCTCTCTCTCTCAAATACATAAAATTTCAAAAAAAAAAAAAAAAATCAAGAAGTAAAAGGAAGCCGCCATCAGTCACTCAGTTTTTGTGGATGTGCCCCATGTATATGGGAGGCATACATGTTATTAAACTTACCTGCTCTTCTCATCAAAAAAAAAAAAAAAAAAGGTGAGGCAGGCAGTCTCCTTTCTCCTTTGCTGTGCTGCCTGATGCTCCTTTGCAGTTTATTCAGTAAAATTCTATCTCCTCAGTCCTTCCTGGGATAAATTCTTTCACCACCCCCGCTGCAAACCTCCACCCAATTGGCTTGCCCCATATTTGGATCCCACTTAGGGAGACTTTGCCAGCCCTGGGGCTCTCCCTGGATTCTCTGGGTTACCTGGGCTTTCCCTCAGTGGATCAGCTCTAGCACTCCTTGGGGGAAGTGATGACCTCTGGCCAAGATTACCCTTCAGTGAGGATCTCAAGCCCCAGGGGGAACCCATCGGCCCACCCTTGCTGGAAAGGGTGAGGGATTTCCACTCCTGCCCTTCAGAGGGGCCTTCTCTCCCTTTCCTTTCTCTTTTCAGGCCTTGGGCAGTCTAACCCTAGTACTCCTCAGACAACTGGAGGTCTCTGGCCAGGGCGGCTCCCTGGTGTGGTCTGAAGGTCTGGGGACAAAGAGTTTGGACTATCCTTTTCTGTAAGGGTGAAGGACACCTTCCCTTCCACTCCTACTCCCTCTGCGGCTCCTCAAGGGCAAATCCACACACCTGATGGACTCAGCTAGGACCCTTCCTGATGCTGGCTGACTCTCAACCACCTCACTTCTTTGGGGCTCCTCCCCTGTTACTCCTTTGTTCCTGTGGGTCCAGCTGCCACCTTGATCTACAGGCAAAATACGTTCTTATTCGTCTGAGTGAATCCAACAACTCTACATATGAATGATGATTCAAAAAGGAATCCAACCTGGTCCCTCACCCAGCCCAAATTCCATGGACCTGGCCACCAAGGAGTTTCACTCAAATTGCCCTCAGCAGACAGGCACAGAGGCAGAGAGAGAGAGAATGTCAAGCAGACCATATCTGAGCTGAGCACAGAGCCCATGACAGTGAGATCAAGTCCTGAGCTGAAACCAAGAGTCGGACATTTAACTGACTGAGCCATCCTGGTGTCCTTTAAGATTTTATTTTTTAAGTAATCTCTCACCCAATGTGGGGCTCAAACTCACCACACCTGGAGATCGAGTCACACACCCGCCTACTGAGCCAGCCAGGTGTCCCTAGTCACATTTTTAGATCAGTTTAAGTATTGAAATGAGTGCACAAACCAAAGCAAAACTGGATCCTTCTACACTGGAGAAGGGAAGTCGATAAAACTTCCACTGGAAATAGTTCACTTGAATATCCATAAAAATTATTTCTATTTATTTTTTGTTGTTGAGGTATAATTGATATATTTGTTTCAGTTGTACAATACAATTCAGTATTTGTATACTGATGACTGTGAAATGATCACCACAGTTAACTCTACATGATTCCACTTACATAAACTAAAAGAACAGACAAAACTAAGATGACAGAAAGTCAGAAAGGGCTGAAGTGATGGGAATGTTTATACTTTGTTTTGGGTGCTGGTTACCTAGGTCTATACAATTTTTAAAACTCAGTAAACATAACATTTAAGATGTTATACTTCATTTAAGAGGGAGGGTCCAATATAATTACTAAATCAGGCAAGAATCATCAAAGGATACTAAAACAATTAAAGTTTTTGGAGAACGGGATATTTGCTTGATGCCAAAGCATCATGCTGCAAGGGAAAAACGTACCTGCTTCATGGCAGTCACTACCTCCCTCCAAGGAAGCAGGCATCACAACATTCCCAGGACAACGGTTATGTGCCTTCTATTACAATGCAATAGGAATTAGCACCACATATGAAACATCCTTTCCAAAATGTAGGACTTGAATGTAATCAAGCCTCTAGACCAAACTCCAGGATACAAAAAATATAAGGAACGGAAGAATAGTTAAGTGATACCATGAAGAAAATCAGACTAATCCAGAATGTAGGATATTCTATAAAACAAGTGGCTTAGACTCAAAGTCAGTATCCATGGGGGGTGAAGAGGCAGGGTGTGAGAAGATTGTTCTAGATTAAAAGAAACTAGGCACACATAAAAACCAAATGTGGTGCCTGGCTGGCTCAAGAGGTAGAACATGTGACTGTTGATCTCGGGATCATGAGTTTAAGCCCCACGTTTCGTGTAGAGCTTGCTTAATATTAAAAAAAAAAAAAAAAAGGAGGGGAAAGGTAAATTATTTAAAAACAAAACAAAAACAAAAAATGTAATGCACAAACTATATATCGTAACTATATAGGAGAATGTTCTCATTTTTAGGAGATGCATGCTACAGGCTTAATTAAGTATTTAAAGGTGGGATATCACGAACTCTGCAACTTACTTTCATGATTAAGAACAAGTTTTTATTTACACAGACATATGTACTACTTAAGAAATGGCAGATACGGAGTATCAGTTGTTGATACAGAATATATGGATGTTCACTGTCCACATCAAATTTTCTGTATATTTAAAATGTTTCATAATAAAAACACTGGAACATAATAAAGTTAAAGGAGTCTAAATGCAATGCAATTATCTTCCTGAAACAGAAAGAAGACATTAACAGAAAAGTTGGTAAAATACAAGTCAAGTCTATAATATAGTTAGTGTTTCTGTACTATTGCAAATTTCCCAGTAAGATGCCATGGCTTTGTAAGACACCAACATCAGGGGAAGCTGGATCGAAGGAACTACCTAGACTATCTGTGGGAATTTCCTGTAAATCTAAAATCATTCCAAAATAACAAGTCCTTGAAAAGTGGCAACCAATATGTAAAAGCTAAAAGTTTTTATTGTGTTTTAACATGTATATAATCAAACAACTTCAAGATCCAATTTCTACTACAATGACCTTCCATATATCTCTAGTTTGGCACAAAGAGTCTCTGAACAGGAAACAGGTTTCCATGGGACCACATACCAAACAGAAGGGAAGCACATTCGTACCCACTGCCCAGGCACCAGGGCTGCAGGTCCAACCGGGGCCTCGGTCCTTGAAGGAGGGTGAAGCTGCCATCTGGGCAGCAGCCACCTTGTTCTCCTGGCACCAGGGAGCTTTCCTTAGTTGAGCAGAGACATGGGCTGCACCGCCTGCTTGTGTAGCACCGACAGAAGAACTACAAAGAGGAGGAACAAGCAGCATCAGTGTACGTGCCGTGCTGACTCCACAGACCCTCCAGCCGCACCTGCACTGACCTAGCTGCAGCCTCCACAGACGGACATCTGTGCCATGCTTGGGGCATGTTAAAAGCTGTTCGTGCACATTATTTCATTTAATCCTGGTGCCTGGTACCAATCCTCGTCTGACAAAGGACTATGGGACACCTTCTTCGTGGAGTATAAGCCTTCACCCAGAGGTCCCTCTCTATCCACAGGAGTCCCAGTGCCTCTTCCCTCCAGAAACGTTAACACCTGACTTCCTCCAAGGCCAGCTCTTGGCTTTATGGCAGCCCTGCTGAACTACAACCACTCCTTCCTGCAAAATTTCTGCAGTGCTTACACAGTGAATGGAATGATATACTTGAAATCCAAGCAAAAATTTGGACTGTGTGTTGGGTAAGAGCACGGAGCATGGAGTCCCATGGTTGGTGTGCAGTCTCTGCCCCACCAGGTACCACTGTGTGGCCCTGGCAGGCTACTCACTGTGAGCCTTAGGTGACTCATGCGGAAAAGGAAGATCATCTCACTACGTAGCTCACAGGGTTGCTTGAAGACTAAGTGAAATTACCTCAATGTCTGCCACATGATGATAACTCAATGCATAGTAACTATTATGGTTACACTTCACATAGGCATGCTTCATGTTTTCACTTTTTAAAAAAATATTTTCTCTATCAGTCCTGGAATTGGAGGCTGAGAGGCTCCTCAGATGTCATAAATGGCCATCTTAGGGGTAAGGAAAATTCTCAAAATTTCCCTAAAATGTGGTCTGTCAGATGAGGATCTTTCAGAATGATGCAGACTATCTAGGTTTCCAGGAGGGTCAGAGTCATTGACATATGTCTGTTCCATGTCTTGCCACCATTTTCAAAACATACATCCTTCATACCACAACCACAGCAACGTGTATCTTGCAGAACTATGTTTGACTAAAACATAGAGGATTGAAACTTCACTTTTTTTTTTTTTTAATTTTTATTTATGATAGTCACACACAGAGAGAGAGAGGCAGAGACACAGGCAGAGGGAGAAGCAGGCTCCATGCACCGGGAGCCTGACGTGGGACTCGATCCCGGGTCACCAGGATCGCGCCCTGAGCCAAAGGCAGGCGCTAAACCGCTGTGCCACCCAGGGATCCCTCACTCACTTTTTTTTTTAAAGTAAATTCTATCTCTAATGTGGGGCTTGAACCCATGACTCTGAGGTCAACCAACTGAACCAGCCAGGTGTGCTCGGGAGTGAAACTTTAAAATGGCAGTAAGTATCCTAATATCTCTTGCATGAAGAACAGAGAGGGACAAAAGGTCACCTTCCTAAGAGCTGGAGCTTTGGCACCAAATCTCAGAAGAGAACTCATATGTAACAGTGAAGTAAGAGAAACTGGGCAGTGCCTTTACTTAGGTTCAGTAAGCCTGAGTGACTAAAAATGAAGTCAGCAAAAATGCCTGCTTGGCTGCCTTCCACCCAAGCCAGAGTGCATCTCAGCTCTTACCACCACCTTTGTACCGTAGTGGGGTTGAGGGCAGATTGGGAGCCTCTGGCTTCATCTCTCCCAGACATACAGGAGGAAAGGCAGCATCAGAGAAGAGCTGGCCAGGTCTGCACTGGGAAGGTAGAGGAAAAGCCTCTCTTCCTGTGCTGCCTTGGAGCTAGGGCTGTGTTATCAATCAGTCAGTACCTTAAGTATGACAGGTCAGGTCCTGGGAGGCTGTGCATCTCCCTGAGTCAAAAAGAAACAAAGCGCACACCACCAAATGCCATCAGGGATACACAGGCACACAATTATAAGACATTCAACCTCATAAGATACTCCCTATGCAAATTTCTTCCAATACTCCTGACGAGTCACAGTCAAGGAGGGAGTTTCTAGTAGCGCTGGTGTCCTATTACCACCTCCTTGACCCTTAGTAATCTCTTTTCTTAACCAGAGGGAAAGCAAGCCTTAAGCTCAGAGACTGATACAGGCAATAGTTTCTAGCAGGAATATTCTTTCTGTTCTCTTTATTAGGGTTACCTTCTTTTTTACAGCAACTGACAATAATATCCATTCGTGTTAGAGATATGTTTCCCTTTTTAAGTACATCTGCAGCTTTAAAAAAGGGAGAGAAAAAGACTAGGAAAGAATAGATTTCTACATGGTAAAAACACACTTGCCTGCATATTGCTATAACCTCTTGTCACCTCGAGTAGCCTAGAACTATGCTGACCATTACAGTAGCCACTAGCCACATGTGACTACTATGTGATCACTATGTGATCATATTCATTTAAATTAATTAAAATTAGACAATTAAAAATTCAGTTGTTCAGTCTTACCAGCCATGTTCCAATAGCCACATGTAGCCCAATAGCTACCATACTAGACCATATAGCTGTAGAATATTTCCTCCATTGCAGAAAGTTCCACTAGACAGCATGAGTCTAGAATACCATTCCCCACTCACCTGGCTACTCACCTGTTGGTGGTACTAGAAGGCCTGGTTTCTCCCCAAGTAGTGGACGCTTGACACACTTGGGTTGGGGGCACCCCATAGGAGCAGGTCTCTTGGAGATGGCTGCTGGAAGCAGGGGAGGGGCAAACAGACCTTTGGGGTTGACCAAGCCTGCAGAGAACAAAAACCAGAGCATAAACAGGAGATAAGTATGTACATAATATCCTTAATTTTGCTTCTTGGTCTATAAGCCCTAAAAATAACATTGACTATCTGTCTTTTAAGAAGTTTGCAAACCCTTTGTCTAGTCAGTGCGGGCACGCATGCATGTCTTGATTATCCCGGTTCTCCATCCTTACCTTTTCATAAGTGAGTTTTATTCCCAGTGTTGTATTTGACACTTGGAATATATTTTCTCAAACATCCAAATCAGTGAGGTTCCCAGACAGGTCATAAAGGCAGATCCAGAACATACCTGAAGCATTCTGTTCCTGAGAATTTAACATCTGTCTGCCCAGAACCTTGGCCTGGACATAGTCACAGGGGTCTCACACATAGCCTAGCACGCTGTCATTCCCTCTTGGGCAGTCAGTCTGCCCTACCCCATTCTTAGGCTGTTGAACAGGGTTTTTTTTTTTTTCACAGCTCATGCCAAGGCCCTGAAGCAAGCACCTAGCCCTTTCCGAGGGTCTGAAAGAATTTTGTTTTTAAACTTTCAGCAAGGATGAGAAGCAATTCAGAGCAAAGAGATCTCCTCCTGGGCCCTTCTCTTCTTAATTCATTTACTTCTCACAGGAACCAGGTGGTAAGAATGTGTAAGGATGGATCAAGGGGCTGGGCTGAGGCACAGGGGAACGTGGTGAGTGCAGAAGGAAAGGAAGGAATAAACACAGGGTACAAGAAAACCCCAACTATGTATGACAGGAATCCCTGGGTGGCTCAGCGGTTTAGCGCCTGCCTTTGGCCCAGGGCGCAATCCTGGAGTCCAGGGATCGAGTCCCACATCGGGCTCCCGGCATGGAGCCTGCCTCTCCCTCCCTCTTTATGTCTATCATAAATAAATAAATCTTTAAAAAAAAAAAAAAAGATTTGAAACTATATTCTTTCTCTCTCTTTTTTTTTTTTTGAAACTATATTCTCAATCATCCCCAAAGTCACCAGGTCTGAAAGGGACAGGAGCATAGATATGTTTGTCCTGTGGGCTGTGGATCTTCAACACAGACTGACTTTGCCAAGAAAAGACATCCACATGTACAGCGACCAAAGCAAAAAGGACACATTCCCTTTATTTTGATCCCCAATAATAGTCAAGGTAGAAATACTACTTGTAAGAAAGTAGTGCTTATAAGAAAGATGATTGTGTAAAATAATCCGTGTTCATATAAAAGACCAAAGTAATATCTGACTCTTATGCACAAATGCATCCCAGGTCCATATGTTCTTTAAGGCCCACGAGAAAAGCCACCTTTCCACAAAGACTTCACTGCCAACTTTGTCTTTAACATGGCAGACTGAAAACATGCTTTATCCAGTTTCTTCTCTGCTCCCACTGCTAATACACAGAGAACAGGAGAGGAGACAAGCATGTATGAACAATATTGGAAAGATGAGGAACACAGAGAATAGGGACTGAGTAGAAGAAGCTGCGTTAGCTGCATTCTAGGTGCCTACAGAGTTCAAAATCTTTACCCTTGGGGCACCTGCGTGGTTCAGTTGGTTAAGCATGTTACTCTTGATTTCAGCTCAGGTATGATCTCAGGGTCATGGGGTCAAGCCCTGTGTCAGGGTCTGCACTCAGCAGGGAATCTGTTTCTCTCCTCTCTCTACCCCCTCTCCTTGCTCCAATGCATGCACGTGCACTCTCTCTCAAATAAATAAATAACAAATCTTAAAACAAAATAAAACAAATAAATATAAAAACCTCTTTACCCTCAAAAGGCAGGCGAGGCTGTGATACTACATACCCAGGAACCAGAGGCATATGTAGGGTCCAGAACTGGACACTGGGCTTGACTGGAACTCTGTACCCTAAGTGGTTAGTCCAAGTTTTGTCCCAGAGGGAATCTATGGATGTCTGATGAACATCAGAATTGAGCAGGAGGATCCAGTTTGGCTGGAAGTTAGTGAACTCTGGGGATTTTCAGCTATGTAAGCCAGTTAAGTCTCCTTGTTTTAAGCTAACTGAGTTAGGTCCCTGTCACTTACAATGGAAGGAGTCCACAGTAATACAACCTCATTTCAGGCAGATGTCAGACACTATTTAGTGCCAACTACTCAGAAAAGCCTCAAAAACACTATGGAATTCTGAGTGCATATTAAAGGAACTCCATTTTAAGCCATTCTAAACGTGGCCACCAACCTTGATGGAAGAGCTCCTCTGTATTTCCCCCCTCCCCATATTAAAACTTAAGCCACTCATTCAAGAGGAACAGCACCCACTGAACCCCCAAGTGTCTCTCTTGGTCTCCTAAAATCTTAACATTCAATAAACTGCCCTGCTCTCTCAGAGCAGAGCTTGTAGAGGCAGCAGAGCTACGGCTGTCTCTTATTACTAGAAGGAAGCACTGACCTGGTGGTGGAAGGAGAGCCCCTCCTGGTCTGTCCCCTAACAACGGGGACTTGGCAGGAAGGGGGGGATGAGAGCCCGGGAAGGACTGCTTTCCAGGGGTTGGAAGAAGTGGAGGCAGCTTGCCCACGACAGGGGTGTTCCTGCCTTGAAATGAGGAATGATTGCTAGCCAAAGACTCGGGAGTTTCAAAGCCTGGAAAAATGAAGAAAACGAATGGTCACCAAAAGTCTGCTGCAGAGGTTGGTGAGCTGTACAAAGGACCCAGGGAATTCAAGGAAGACTAGCATTTTTCTGACTTAGAGGTTTCTATGACCAGAGACAGGATATTAATTAGATTATTGCAGTCATCATTAGATATATATATACAAATATCAAATCATTACGCTGCATACCTGAAAGTAATATAATCTGTCCATCATATTTCAATCAATCAGTTAATAAACTACATAAGCACTCAGGAAAAAAAAACACTATTGTGTTTTAATTTTAAAACCTTGACAAAGTACAACAAAAAACGTACAAAAAATAAAATATATTCCATATTTAGGGGATCCCTGGGTGGCGCAGCGGTTTGGCGCCTGCCTTTGGCCCAGGGCGCGATCGTGGAGACCCGGGATCAGATCCCACGTCGGGCTCCCGGTGCATGGAGCCTGCTTCTCCCTCTGCCTGTGTCTCTGCCTCTCTCTCTCTCTGTGACTATCATAAATAAATAAATAAAAATTAAAAAATATATATATATTCCATATTTAATAAGATGAATGATTTCTTAAAAGCTCTGACATGGCCCTGGAACTTTAGCTATGTTTCCCCACAGGGACAAGTGGTTATTATTTTCTTCTCATCTACTTTAACTCAAAACAAGTAAAGTGAAGTCACCATTTTAAGGAGTTTGGCTCGTATCTGGAATGCTCATTACATCCTTCAAGATTAGGAACTTCTTTATGTTTACCCCACACTTAAAAAAGAATCTACAAATGTATCAATTAACAAGCTGAAACTACAAATCACAAAACTAACCTGATAGGGGAATAGAAACTATATAGAGAAGTCATTCCATTTATATATTAAAAATCGGATTGAAAACGAAGTTTAGTTGCCCCTGGGTGGCTCAGTTGGTTAAGCTTCTGCCTTCTGCTGAGATAATAATCCCAACATCTTGGGATCGAGCCTTGCTCAGCCGAGAGTCTTCTTCTCCCCCCACACCCTACTCTTGCATGCTCATGGTCTCTTTCTCAAGAAAATAAAATCTCAAAAAAAAAAAAAAAAAAAAGGAAATTTAGCTTCAAAAGAAGCACTTTAGTCTATAAAGGTTACACATTAAAATAGTCTAGTTCCTACATGGAATATGTTTCTATCAGATAACTTTATATAACAGAAGAATAGTCTCTCAATTAAATAAAAAGTTCTTACTTTTCTTTCACATACAGATTTTCAGGAAAGGATTTCCTGTGGTTTAAAATGGGGAAGGAGAAGGAACAGTGCCAAATACCTTCCAGCTGCCCTTTCCTAGTCGTCAGGTAGTCAATAAGCAGGTTCAACTCATTCCCATACAGATGCTTTCCCTCAGTCAATAGGAAGAGAAGGTGCTGAATGTCTGAAGGGACAGAGTAGCTGGTAAGGCGCTCCCGAGCCAAGAAGTCATCCACCAGATCTCCAGCCCGCAGAGCAACTCTAGTACGTTCCTGCTGCTCTCGTTTAGAGAAAAATCTCCTGTATTCTTTAGCCACCAGTACCAGGGCATCTTCCAGGGGCATATGGCGATGAACTAGGGATGAGAAAGAGCCTGCTTTATATCAAATGGGTGCCCTGATTCCTTTTAAAATCAGAAAATAACATAGTTAATCAACTACATGTTGTTTAAGCTGTGTCAGCTTTTGGTACAGATGTGACCATCTACTGATCCAACTGGACTGGGACCCTCCAAAGCAGGTGCCCTGTCGATTTCAAAATCAAACATGACATTGTTTCAAAATTATAAAATGTGCAGCTTAGTTTATCGTTTTCATACAGACCCACAGATGAGACAGAAAGGCGGGGGGGGGGGAGGGAGGGAGGGAGAGGGGGAAACAGGTGCCATGTGTACCAATGCGAATTCTTAATGCTAATTATATCTAGCTTAAAAAAAGACAGGATGTAACCTCAACCATCACTGGCTACTAGAAAAGTTTAAGGGGAGAAAAATCCTAAACGTGAAGGTATTTTAGTTCCAGCAAACTGGGTGGACAACTTGAGATAAGACAGATTCACAGAAGAAAGTGGAAGAACAGAACCTTTAGAGGTGAGCAGGTGAAAAATGAGGCTGCTGGTTTTCATTACACACATTGTAGTGTTCATCTCTTCACTCTGTATACGTAATACTTTGATAATAGGCAGACAGACAGACAGAATGTGGTGCAGACTTCAAGGCTATGTCACTGTAGGCTAAGGAGTAACCCACAATCCTCTACCTGGCTCTGCAGTCTTTAGCTCAGGCATATGGGATCTTAAATCGTGTTAAAAGCCTTTCCAGATAGGGTCAGGAGTGCTCTGGGCCCTAAATATTACATATAAAAAAATTCTAGACTCCAGGAATGACTTTTACATAACTTAATGGCTATAGTCAATGCACAGGTGTCTTCTAATCTCTCCTAGGTATACCTACTGAGAATAAGACTTCATAAAAGTTTAATTTTAGATGGGAGGCCCCTACCCTGTCTTGCCATTTTTAACTGACTTCTGAACAAATTTAGGACGCAAAGGACACTATGAAGTTTTAGCAGAGATTATGGTATTTGGTTAAATCTTAAACTGTTTATTAAGGTTACATTTAGGAAGAAATATGAATGTATATTTGCCTACAGGTGTTAAGGTTTCTTTGTTTGACTGTCTTAAATGTTTGTCTTAGCATAGAAGCAGCTCCATGGGCTTCTTAATAATGGCTGCATGCAAGGTATAAAATAAACTGTCAGCAATAAAACAATGTGAAAGAGAGGCCAGCAAAGACTAATTTTGCTAAAATTAGTAGCTTATAAGAGAAACAGAGTGTCCTTTTTACGTATCATCTGAGTTCAATAATTAAATTCATGATGAAATGAATATGAACCTATTAATACTATTCTAGACATGAAAAACCCTTCTCTGAATTTGAAACATGGTAAAAATAGATCACATGCTTTTTTGAAGTAGTGCTGGTTTTTACAAGTGTTTTAGTATTTAACAAATTATTCAACCTATCTACTTTTGTAGTAATTTCCTAAATGGTGTTGCACGAATGTAAACATCTGTGATTAGTCTTCTGCACAACCTGTTAACTTAAATCATTCCCCATCCCCACCCCCACCCCCAGGAGGTTGGGATTTGTAATTTTGAAAGTATGCCTTTTCTTTCACATTTTCAGAACTTACATGTTACATAAATGTGATTTAGTCTTATTATTTGTTTAAAACACATTAGACATTTTCTATGTTTAGAAAAACCATAGTTTCACACTCTTGGGAACAATACTGAATAAGAGCTGGCTAGGTGGGTATAGGTGGCTACAAAGAAGCAAAACAAATGGAATGGCAGGAAAAGATGTCCTGGCATCCCCCCAATTGTTGGGAGCCAACTGTTTCTCACTATTGTTTTTTCAAACCCAACATTATAGCTGAATTATAGGATATCCATCTGACACTGACTTCTCTGAAGGCTCCAGAAGCCACAGGCAACTACTAGTGCTCCACTAGGTCTCTGCCCAGGGGAATGGTCTCCTGACGTAGCAGTGAGAATCTTACATTGCTATGGAGACTCAAGCTGAGATGGGCCTGTTGGAAACGCCTGCCTGGCTGCTGCCTACCCAGAGAGGAAGGAAGCAGGGTTGGCTTGCATCTTGTACAGCCTGGCACACATGAGGAACTTAGTAAGTGTGGACTGCACAGAGCAGCATCAAGAGCTTCTATAAAGACAAGAGGACTACAGAACTCATGCTCATCTGGGTCTGACTCTAAGGAAGCTACTGAGAGACGCTCCATAAGGCAGACCCTCCTCTCTAAAAGCAACAGTTCTGACCAGCAGAGGAAAGATGAGTATAATCTAGGATGTGTGCATCTGCCTAAGTCTATGTATTTTAGGGAAGAAAAAGGAGTCCATTTTTGTGCATTCTCATGAGCCTAAGAATGAAATGTTTGAGAGATCACAGGAAAGGCAAAGTCAGCAAGAAAGATAGTCTAAGAAAATGCACAAACATAACATCTTTTAGACTTCCACTGAGGGCAGAAAGGATGGTGGTGAGATTTGGTCAAAAGTTCTGCATAAGAGAACTGACTTGTTACATAATATTTTGGACAAAATATTCTACATTCTTAAATAAGAAGCAATAAAGATGATTTAAGCTTTAATTACACTAATACACAAGAGAGTACTTTGTCATACCTATTCAAGTCACTTTCTTCTCAACTAGATCCAATTTAGTTACTGACAAATGTGAACCTTCAAAGTAAAACAGCATTCAAAGAAAAACTATTACATTTTTAAAAGCAGAATCCATTTTAAGTGATAGTTCTAGATTGAGCTAAACTTACTTTTGATAGACTCATGAAGCATAATTACGGTGCAAGAGGAAAGTTTTACATTAGACTGTTCAACAAGAATGCAAAACGGGGACCCGTCATCCTTAACTTCCTGGAGCGCTCGCATAAGGCTCGACTCAGAGGAGAGGTGAATCATTTCCACCACAAGGTCATGATCCTGCAACCGATGACCTATGCCTGTTGCATATTCCCTTAAAAACAAAACATACACCACACACAACACACACATAAAAGGTAGGTTATTTTCAATCAAACAAAAGAAGAAAAAAAAAAAAGCCAATGTCACCAAGCAGTTGTGGAATAGATATTTTGATGACAAATTTAAGTGACATGTAAGATACTATATTTTTGCTGTACTTGGATAAGTGAAGTAGAAGATGCTGTATTTTTTTTTAATTGTGCATGCCCTGCAACTTGTTTTCATTCTTAGACACTCTGAAAACATTAACAATAATACATTATCTTGGGCAGCCCAGGTGGCTCAGCGGTTTAACGTCTGCCTTCAGCCCAGGACATGTTCCTGGAGAACCAGGATCGAGTCCCACGTCGGGCTTCCTGCATGGAGCCTGCTGCTCTCTCTGCCTGCTTCTCCCTCTGCCTGTGTCTCTGTCTCTCTCTCTCTCTCTCTCTCTGTGTCTCTCATGAATAAATAAAATCTTTAAAAATAATAATAATAATACATTATCTGTTTGATGGAACAGGTTAAGAGAACTGGAGGCAACTCTAACCAAAGGAAACTTACTTTTTAAAAAAATGTGGTGTTCTCATATGGTTGATTATGTACAGAATTTTACAAAGAAAGCAGAGTACGTCAAAGCCATGTTTTTGTGTGGCATAATACAATGGATAAGCACCACAAACGTGGCCCGTGTTTTTCAAGATGGAATCATTCAAGTGTTATTCGATTTATTTCAATTTAAAGACCATGAAAGAAATATAAGATTGAAAGAACAGATAAGATTATCTTCAGAATAATAAGAATGCTCATCTACAACTAGTTCCTAGGACAGACTGATATTGTTGAGATCACTACCACTGTGACAATTCCTTGCTAACAAGTAAATGGGTGAGGGGTGCTTGGCGGGCTCAAACGGTAGAGCATGCAACTCTTGATTTGGGGTTGTTGAGTTCAAGCCTCAAATTGAGGGTAGATAAATAAATAAACAAATAATTAAGTAAATGTATAGACAAACAAACAAAGAATAAATGGATGATACTGGAGTTAACCATCTCTACCATTATCAACCATCCCTTAACCAACCTTGGATCAAACCCCAGAGTCGTCTCACTCCCAATTTCTCAGCCTTGGTCTTCAACTCCTAAAGAATCTATCCCAGACCTCTCCTTTGGGTTAATGCTTCCCTCCCTGCCCAACACTTGCTTAGAAACCTGCACAGAAACTTAGAAGCCTCAAATGACATAATTCCCTGAAACACTGATTCACCTCCTTGGAGCCTACAATGGTATAGTCTGCTCTTCCTCTTATGTATCCTCTGCTTAAAGGAGAAACAACTCTTTTTCCCTTCTTCCACTTGTTATTTATGGACGTGTTTTACCTTACTAGGCTGAATGTGGTACAAAAGAGGAACTGTCAATTATCTGCATGTTTTACATATAACAGATACACATGGGGATCCCTGGGTGGCGCAGCGGTTTGGCGCCTGCCTTTGGCCCAGGGCGCGATCCTGGAGACCCGGGATCGAATCCCACATCGGGCTTCCGGTGCATGGAGCCTTCTTCTCCCTCTGCCTGTGTCTCTGCCTCTCTCTCTCTCTCTCTCTCTCTCTCTGTGACTATCATAAATAAATAAAAATTAAAAAGAAAAAAAAATAACAGATACACATTAAATGCATGTTCTGTGAAATAAAAATTAAAATCAGGGCCAGAAAAATGCTTTCCAGGCAATTTAGGAGTATGGGTGATTTCAGAAAACAAATTCAAGATGTAAACAAGAAAAACAAGACCATGGTTCATATTTACACAATGACAGCCCAGGAGTCAAAACTATCACAATAGGGCAGCCCAGGTGGCTCAGTGGTTTAGCGCCGCCTTCAGCCCAAGGCCTGATCCTGGAGACCCGGATCGAGTCCCGCGTCAGGCTCCCAGCATGGAGTCTGCTTCTCCCTCTCCCTGTGTCTCTGCCTCTCTCTGTGTCTCATGAATAAATAAATAAAATATATTAAAAAAAAAAAAACTATCACAAGAGGGGTGACTGGGTGGCTCAGTTGGCTGAGCATCTGTCTTCTGCTCACGTCATGATTTCAGGGTCCTGGGATTAAGTCCTATATCTGGCTCTCTGCTCAATGGGGAGACTGCTTCTTCCACTCTCTCTGCCCCTCCACCTGCTTGTGCTCTATCTCAAATAAATAAAATAAAATCTTAAAAAAAAATAAAAACCATCAGCAGTAATAATTCATGTTGGAGGACACGATTTGAAAATTAATTATTGTTTTGAAGTATAAAGGAATGAATTAGCCAACCAATGTATCACAAATCTTTTCAATATCAAAGACAACAGAGCAGGCAGCAATGCCTAGTTCTTTGACTCTCTGGCAAATGCATGTGGCAGAGGAATCCCTAAGCTACACCCACCGAGGGTCCTAATCCATGGCTAAATGCCAGAACTGTGAATGCCAGAACTGTGAATGCCAGGCAAAGAAGCAGTTTCTGAATACCACCCCAGATGGAAGGGGAGAAGAAAAGCAATCTTGAGGACTCCTCTCCACCACACAACACTGCACTCCAGTCAACACCAGCCAGCCTGACTCTAGAGTTGGGAGACTGGCAAGGACAGGAGGGTGCAGGAGTCAAACAGCCACTGGAGCCCATCACAATTCTAAAAGAGCTATGAGGTACTACAGGTCTGATGTGATGCTACAAGTTCCAAGAAAGCTGATTTAGTCAAAGATTAATGTAGTTTCCCTGGCTGATGCAAACTACTATAGCAAAGTTGCTAAATGTTGAGGGAAAACCAAGCCACTATGCATGCTGAGTCTTTACTGCCTCTGGTTCAAAATTGGTTTATATTACCACATGATCAAATTAATCCAGGGCATGTCTGGTTGTCTTTCAATTATTAAAGGGAAATCCCATAATTTTCTAATGTAAAAGGAATTGGCCTCTCCCACCCTCCCCATGCTGTGACTGACCTCATTTCTTCTAGTATTCTGTCTCCCAAGATCCAACCCAAATACCCTCCAAATGAAATGAAGCTATAATTTTGCTTTCACAAACCTTACTGTAAAGATGCTATCTACATATAAGTTAGATGTCTGTAAAGCAAATATCACAGAATAAGAATTCGGAGTCATTTTAAGATTGCCGATTTTCAAATAAAGTAAGAATACCAATGTTGCCTTCATGCTGAGTTATATTTTGCGTGTGCTTGGTCTCTTGTTCAGGAATGATCAGTTATCATGGCTGAGTCTGCAGTATCATGCACTCAGCACCTAGCCTGGAGTAAGTTTGCATGCCTCCAACCAACCATTTGTCTACACATTCTTTGCCAAGCACTATGAAACCTGACAACCCAGAGACACAATTATCGTCACACATCACCCCTGTCTGCCTTCAAGTGCCAGCCAACAGTGCTCAAGATCAGGGCATTACAAAGACCTAAAGGATGAGCTGGAGACAGCCATGAGGGCAGGAGACCAGGTTATAACTGCGCTTTAGTGGCCTGCATGAATTACAGGTATTAAGTGGCCTATACAAGTTACACGTTAGTTGGCCTGCACAAGTTACAGATGGAGAAGAAGGATTGAGCATCCCCCACTGAAAGAAAAACAGCAAGGACAAAGAATGAAAGGAATTCAACAAGTAGTTAAGAAATGAGAAAAACCCATCTCTGAAATTATCAGTGAGGCCAACTTGTGGCATCCCACACTAGACTGTCAATGCCCCAAGGCAAAGGTTGGTATGTTATTTTCATTAAAGTATCCGCAGATAGTCCCTGGCATATGGAACCCAGGCTATTTTCAGGTTGGGTTTTTTTCCCCTGATTATGAAACTGATAGATATTCATTGTAAAAACTTGAGCAATTCAGAAAACTGAGTAAGATAGTAATCATCAGAAACCTCCCCAGCCACCAGTTTGGTAAACCCAACAGCAGAGTCTTGTAATTCTTAGAGCAATGTTCTAACAGCATTTCAAGAGTCTTTCAACCCTGAGTGACTTTTATGTATGTAAGGCTGAATACTTATTATTCCATTTGTACACATTTTCATTTGGCAAGCTAAAAAAAAGATAAATGTACCTCTGTTCGTTGTTGATATAAACAATGACGCAATCTGAAGGCCTTTCTCGGTCACGTTCTTTCTGAACCACTTGATAAAAGTGCTGGAAAAGCCCCTCTTTCCGAGTGTCCCTAATGCTGCCATCATCTGAAAAATATTGACATGTTCATGCTCTTGCAAGGGCAAAAACAATCACTGAAGGTTTTCAGAATTTTTACAAAAGTGTAAATGAAGGCAACACCTCTATAAAGAATAGATGAGGAAAACAGAAGGAGAATCGCAGCAAGACTCTTACCTAACTGAGTGGTCTGGGGTCGCTCATGGTTCTCTTCCTTCCTTTTTGAATAATCAGCCACATTCCGCCATAATTCTTTAATGCTATTGGATGCATGAAAATATAATAGTTTGTGCAAACGCAGTTTCCCTCTAAATGTGTCCCCAAAAGCCAAAAATAAATACCAGGTCACCTGGCACAATATGTATGTACCAAAAGAAAGGCTGTATTTACACAGACGTAGAAAGACGCTTAATACTCCGTTCTCATTTTAGAAACATTCATTCATTCATTTATTTATTTTTCATTTTAGAAATATTATGAGTTTCTGGGATGTTTCTGCCCTCTCCTACTCACTTCGTCTTGCCTGTTATGACGAAACGTACTACATGGAGCCACTGATCTTTGTCAAGTCAGACTAAGAAACTCATACTTGAAGGTGTGTAATTTAAAGAAAAGGAGATAAATTTATCAGACATGTATATCTTTTGAAGAAGAGGTGCTTATCTCTGAGGGTCTTCATTGGATATGGGTAAAAAATGAGTCAACGAGGTCTGTTCACTTACTCCTAAACACTCTACAGCTCCTGTGAGCCAGCTATTTTCCCTTGCTAAAGGCATGCAAAATAGTGCACAGATGCTGGGTAATCTATTAGCCATCTAAAGTAGTCCCCTTTGCTGTGATTTAACAGAAGAAAGGGGGAATTCGCTGCACTCTGTACCCTAAATCAGGCATTTTTACTGCAGCTCTCCAGCAACCAGACACCAATGTGTCTGTCCATAAGGAGTGCCCTGCCAGGGAGAGAACCACCTCGGCAGGCAGCAATTAGTTCCTTTCTCACCAGAGGCATCACGCTGCATGGCAAAGCAGCCACGGAACACGCTCAAACCATGACTATTCAGCAAGCTGCCAGCAAACGTCGATCCCGTTGCTCTTCCCCTGTACAATTTTCATTTGGGTTCTTGTCCACATCCAATTCCCTGACACAGCAGAGACACAGTTCCAGACTTTTAGAGGCAAAGCTTTTGCCTGAATCTATGCCTCCGCAACTGCCTGACAATCCTGAGCTACACGAGATGTTTCCTTCCCCCATGCAAACTTTTTTTTGTCTACTGTCTCTGACAAACACTAGCCATTGCCTCCAGAGGCCATTCCTCAAGCTGCCTTTCTCTACCCCTTGCTAGGCTGTGTTCTTGCTGGCTTTCCCTCAAACTTTAAATGCTTTCTTTTAATGAAGTAGTATGTAAACTGTTGACCACCACCCTAAGTAATTAGATGGGGATGGAGGGGTGCACCCGAGCCTGGTATGTGGTCATTCAGGAAAGGCAGTATGATGCTGAAATTCTTACTCCCTGGGTATGGATCTCAGTGCTATCACTTAGTAATTGAGTAAGCTCAAACAAGTTACTTAACATTGCTAGGCCTCAGTTTTCCCATGCACAAAATGGGGCTATTAGAATCTACACGGAAGTGCTGCTATGAGGATTAAATGAGTTAATGCAGGTAAGGTCCTTAGAATGATGTCTAATGCACAACAAGCCTTCAATAGATGTAAGCCATTATCATCCATCTCTGCCTTTAGGCTTCTTTCACACCAGAGTTAAGAAAATCCCTCCTTCAGAAGATCGCCTACTGGTGCAAGTATTCTGAGTCTCACTGTCAGGAAATGTTACCTGAGACAGACTAATCCCCATTAACAGTCACTCCTGAATTCTATACTTCCAAGTGCTTCCGCAGTCGAGGAAGGCATTTTTCAATTTTGAATTATTAATCTAATCTGACACAAATCTCATCTTTAATGCAGGCAAGAGAGAGGCCCTGTCAAGGTTCATACATATAAAAATCAATTTAAATACAGTTCAAGGAAAACTGCTTTTACCAAAACTACAGAGGTAGATCCAAAGCAATAATCCTGAAGTACCATGTTGATTTACCTACTTAGTTACTCAGAACTCCACCTTTGAATGTGAAAGAGTAAACAAAGTAAGACCATGTTCAAAACTGGTCTATAAACTGTGGAATCCTACATGGTGGTCGACAATCCTCCATGACTTACTGTTACGTGAAAGAAGCAAGTTCTAGAACAATATACCAGTGTGAGCTACTTCAGTTAAAAACAAGGAAGGGGGTCAGCCCTGGTGGCACAGAGGTTTAGTGCCACCTGCAGCCCGGGGTGTGATCCTAGAGACCTGGGATCGAGTCCCACATTGGGCTCCCTGCATGGAGCCTGCTTCTCCCTCTGCAGGTGTCTCTGCCTCTCTCTCTCTCTCTGAATAAATAAATAAATCTTAAAAAAAAAAAAACAAGGAAGGGGTGGGTGCCTGGGTGGCTCAGTCGGTTAAACCTCTGCCTTCAGCTTTAGGTCATGACTCCTAGGGTCTTGGGATGAGCCCAGAGTCTGGCTTCCTGCTCAGCAGGGAGCCTGCTTCTCCCTCTCCCTCTGCCACTTCCCCTGCTTGTGCTCTCTCTCTCTCTGTCAAATAAATAAATTCTTTTAAAAGAGGGGGTGAGTGGAACTGGGGAGGGCTCTGAAAGGGATTTTTACTTTTTATTATCAAACACTTTTACATCTGTTTGTCCATTCCTGGGGGGTAGGGTGGGGGGCACGTGCAAGAGAGTGAGCGGGACAACAGGCAGAGAGAGAGTTTCAAATACTCCGAGCTAAGCTCAAGCTCAACATGGGGCTTGAGTTCATGGCCTTGATATCATGACCTGAGCTGAGATCAGTAGTCGGATGCTTAACCAACTGAGCCACCCAGGCACCTCAAATTATTTTTATTTTTGACTTTATTTATACTGGAATACTAATTCACCTCACAACTAAAATAAATTTGCATTTTTAGAGCATATACCCATGGGCAGATGGTAGCACAAAAAAGGTGGGGAGGTGGGGAAGAAGGGAGTTGAGGGCCTGCTGCAGCAGGTCACTCACTTGGAGCTCACAGAGGGGCTCCAGTAGTCGAGTCCCCTCAGTCTGGGTCTGTTTTAGTTACTACAGTCCAAATGACTATGGAAAGGGACAAGTTAAAGCAGAATGGCTTAATATGATTGAGTTGACCTGAGGGACTTCCCCAAAAGCAAATATTAATAGCATCAATTTTAACAAACACATAAGTCTGCACAGTAAGAATACATCTAAATTACTACTAAAGCTTTTAGCAAATTGAGCCACAACAATAAAACTTTACCTTAGCATGTCTTCACCCTCCTTTAAGTAGCCCTCTTGGGGAGAATAAGAAGTCGGTAGAAAAGGTTTATATGGCTTGCTGCTAAAAAACCAACAAAGACAAAATTACACTTAAGAAGAAATTATTTCCCATAGCCCACACGTTAGCTTCCAACGTTCTGGTATACTCAAAGGTGATTAAATCTTCAGTTAAACTGGATTTTTAAAACTCGAACAGTGCTTTTCTCCAGACTTTTTTTTTTTTTCAGAATTTCTATTCTATTTTGTAATGCCTATTTCTATTTTTGTCTAGTTTGTTTGTTCAACTGCTTTTCCAGAGTTGACAACTGAAGGCACAGCTCACAAGAAAAGACCACTATAAATTCACCAGCAGAAAAGAGCTTCAACATAATGAACCAGATTTACCCAAATGAACTGAATTAAACGTAAAAGAAAAATAAGAATGTAATGCTGGCAGTGTTTGGTAATTTTAAAAAGTCTATTTTTTTTTAAAGCTTCTCTTTGATAGATGCTCTACCAACATCACCATAAATTTTCATTAATTATCTGCCATTTATAATGTATCTGACACTAACTCCACAATGGCACTTATGAAAGAACGTTCCTGAATGATCTGTGTGCATCGATTCTAAGCACTCAAGGTCCTCGATTAAGACCACTGTTATGTTATATGCCAAACGCATCTGACACACGTCGACACCGTCTTCCTCGTTTAAAAGCTGTGTGGTTAATTAATAACACAGATTGAAATCTAAGACAAAAATCAGGGGCAAAATCTAAGAAGAAAACGTCTCCTCCAAATTGTTAGCTGAGAAACAAGAGGTTGAACAAGATTAATTATTATGAATTTGGACCGAGAGGGTTAAAGAGTTATTAGAAAGCTTTCCTTTTCCAAAAAGGATCAGGAGCACAGATGCTCCACTCGACCCTCTTCTCAATGATCCTAGCCAAGTTTGAAGGCCATGAGAAGGAATAAGCAGATGGTTCAATGTGAGTAAGTCAAAAGGAAGTTGCATTTGCCTTATTCGGCTTCCTAGCAACTAGACTGAATGATGCCAAGAAAGCCAGCCGGCTCTAAGGAGAAACGCTGCAGGACACTTGGAACCCAGCGGTCGGGCAGGGGAGAAGGCCCCCAGACACCCTCACCTGGCAAAACAAATCCAGTGCCTACTGACACCCACACTTCCCACCTTATCAGGACCTTCCCCTTCCCTTGTAGTTCTCACTCCAGCCTACCCTGGCCACACTAATGACAGCCACTTAACTACCAGGACAACCTTTCAAACTCCAGTAACATCAGATGAGCAGTCTGGCCCAGCCATCAAAGAATAACTTCCCACTTCTCCATGGGAGAGAAGGCCCAACGCACTCAACACACCTCAGCCAGCTGGACAAAGGATTCTGCAAGCCAAAAGACCCGCGTTCAAACACTGCAGCCCAAGCACTGAGAAAGGCAGACGTGTACGCTGGCTGGAATCCCAGAGACCTGAGAAACATCCCTCCAGAGCCACAGTGTTCCTTTTCTCCTCCCTAAAAACATCCCCTAAGTACCAGGAGGCTGGGGGTTCCCAAATGGGCTGCTTAGAGGAATCACATTCAGGCAGGAATTGTCTTTGTGTAAGTACATAAATTGAAACATGAAATATATCCGCAATATGACACAAATGGCCAAAGGAAGGCTTGGAAATTATTGATCATTGCAAGGTTACTCTAAGCCCTGGCAATACCACTGTATTTTATCATATACTCTGGGTCCCTAACTGGTGGCACCCAATAAAACTTTAGTTCTGGGATCCCTGGGTGGCTCAGCGGTTTAGCGACTATCTTCAGCCCAGGGCGTGATCCTGGAGTGCTGGGATCGAGTCCCGCATTAGGCTCCCTGCATGGAGCCTACTTCTCCCTCTGCCTGTGTGTGTGTCTCTCATGAATGAATAAACAAAATCTTAAAAAAAAAAAAAAACACTTTAGTTCCTCTCCTACTCAGTGGGTAGTAGGTCAGTCTCTGTCAAACAGAAAATGGGACTTAGAAATGTATCTTGGGAAATGATTACAGTTTCCAAGATGTTCAATGAAGATGTTTTCTTTTTTTTAACTTTTTTTTTTAATTTTTTTATTTATGATAGTCACACAGGGAGAGAGAGAGGCAGAGACATAGGCAGAGGGAGAAGCAGGCTCCACGCACCGGGAGCCTGACGTGGGATTCGATCCCGGGTCTCCAGAATCGCGCCCTGGGCCAAAGGCAGGCGCCAAACCGCTGCACCACCCAGGGATCCCCAATGAAGATGTTTTCAATGTATTATATTTAAGCCTTATAACAACCAAAGCTGGGTATTATCAACCTCCCCATACTTTTTAGAAACAGATGAGGAAACCGAGGGTCATGGCCCCCCGACTTTCTACACAGCTAAGCTATAAAGCACAAATTCAAATCCAGATGTGTCTGACTTTAAAACCCAGGCTCCCTCTAATAACTCCTACACCAAAAACTCTGGGCTTAACGCAGGAGATCTGCAAGTAAAAGAAACATAGGAAAAGAAATGAAAGGACAAATATAAGGGATAAAGATGTTAAGTCATTCTGCAAGTAAAAGAAACATAGGAAAAGAAATGAAAGGACAAATATAAGGGATAAAGATGTTAAGTCATTCTATCTTTTTATGGAAAGTAAATTAATGTGGGCATAAAAAACTCGCATTTGAGAACATAGAGAGTATGGCAGAGGGCTCCACGGTGAAATGGCTGTCTGCCCATGCCTCTCCTGGCCATGCTCCAGCAGGCCTTCGCCTCCTGCACACATCTGGGTGGACCACCTAAGGAAGAGCAATTCAAAATTCAAGCCTCAAGACTGATGTGGAGGAACCAGAATTCTTATACGCCACTACTATGAAAGTAAAATTGTACAATCACTTCAGTGAATCATCTGGCAGTTTCCTAAAAGGTGAGACATATAATCCAGCCAGTCCATTCCTAGATATTTACCCAACAAAAATGAAAGCACAAATCTACACAAAAACTTGTACATGAACCTTCACAGCAGCTTTATTTGCAACAGTCAAAAACTAGAAATGTCTAACCCACAGGAAGATGGGAAAACAAACTGATATACCCACAGGTCATAAGCCTGCCCAAGCCACCGTAACAAAACACCATTTTCTGGTTGGCTAAAACAATAGAAACTTTTTCTATCATTCTTCTGCAGGCAGAAGTCCAGGATCAGGATGTCAGCATGGTCCAGACCTAGTGACGGCTCTCTTCCTGGCTTGCAAAGGCCACCTCCTTGCCGGGCCCTCACACAGCCCTTCAACACTGCATGTGCATGGAGAGGACTCTTCTTCTTACTTTTAAGGCCACCAATCGTACAGGATTAGGGTCCCACACTTGTGACCTTATTTAACTTTACCCAGCTCCTAAAAGCCCTATCTCCAAATAAAGTCACATTGGGGATTAGGGCTCCAACATGTGATTATAGGGAACACAATTCAGTCCATGGCACCATAAAATGGAGTACTACTCGGTAACAAAGAAATGGAAGTACTGATTCACCCAAACAATACGGATAAATCAAAATAACTGTACTGAAGGAAACCAGAAACTTCTTTATAAAAATATAACTATATGATTCCATTTAAATAACTCATAAATCTTATACACAATATATAAAAATTTATAGGAAATGCAAGCTAATCTTTCGTGATAAAAGTGACAGACCAGTTGTTGCCAAGAGAAGGGGGAATGATAATGACGAATAAGTAAACTTTGGGGACAGCTGTGTTCATTACCTTGACTGTAGTGCCTTTCATCCACATGTCAAAACTCAAGTTGTACATTTTAAATATGTGTAGTGTATTTACTATACCAATGTTACACATCAATAATCATATATTGATAAGACTAAAAAAATCCAAGCCTTTCTCCCCCAGCTTTGTTTTCTCACTCTTTATTAACATGTATTCACTTTCTTTCCTTTTTTTTTTTTTAAGTTTACTTATTTACTTTTAAATACTCGCTACATCCAATGTGGGGCTCAAACTCACAACTCCAAGATCATGAGTCACATGGTTTTGACTGAGGCAGTCACACGCCCTAACATCAACATGTTTTCAGTGTGTTTCAAGTTTTAGTGTTGGTCAGAAATCATGCAGATTCTGAGGTCTTTACATGGAGAGAACCTTACACATCTATGGAAACAGCCCACCGAAACACTTTCTCGTTATTTCATTAAATGTACATGTCAGTCCCAAAGCCTCCAGGAATGCTAGTACGATTATTTTTAACTTGTTACTATTGTATCTCAATTACTTTAACTTATTAGACAGCTGATCTATTAAGTTCTCAGGGTAGGACCCACTGGGGATAAATTTTAAAATTAAAAAGATTTTTAAGAATCTACTCTTAGAAGTTCCATCATAATTTCAAATTTCACTGAAAACAATTTGAATTTTAACACTCCTCTGGAGAAATTTCAATCGAGCCTCCAGAAATAGGAAAAGAGTAGTATCATGGCATTGTCAAAGGACACAAACCAAAAAAATGTCAAAGATTTCCTCTATGACATTCTAAAAAAAAAAAAAAAAAAAAAAAACCACAACTCAGGGTAAATACACAGCTAAACAGTGTCACCATGCAATTCAGCAATCACACCCAACTGATTTGAAAACGTACATCCACACAAAAACCTCCACATGAATGTTTATATCAGCTTTATTCATAATGGCCCAAGCCTGGAAGCAACCAAAATGCCCTTCAATAGGTGACATAGATAAACAAGCTGGCACATCCAGACAATGAATATTATTAAGTGATAAAAAGAAAAGAGTATCAAGCCACAAAAAGACTTGGCTAAATCTTAAATGCATATTGCTAAGTGAAAGAAGTCAGTCTAAACAGGCTACATACTATATAGTTCCAATTATATGACATTCTGGAAAAGGCAAAACTATAGAGATGGGTGAAAAGATCAGTGGTTGCCAGAGGTTTGACAGGATGGAATTGAAAAGGTGAAGCACAGGGGTTTTTTCCAGGCGGTGAAATTATTCTGCATGATACAGTGATGGTGGATACATGACACTATGCATTTGTC